GGGCTATACTCCGCACTCCATCGAGGCTATCAGATTTATGCCTGACACTGATATCTTACTTGGCGGATATAGTTTGTTTGGTGGCCGAGGAGAATACACAGCAAAAATAAAAGTAAATGCTTCTTACTGTACAATCACATTTCTATAGATTACGTTGTAACAAATTACATTTCATCACAGCTTTTTGATATCGGTGTGGATGGAGGGGATCAAGAAAATGATGGCGAACTTTTAGCGGAATCAGAGGAAGTACCATATGAATGTAGACCGCGACAAAAATGTTCTATTCTATTCGATGAACCTATCGCATTGCAAGCAAACAGGTGGTATGTTGCTTGGGCTAAAGTCAGTGGCCCTGCCAGTGACTGTGGATCCGGTGGACAAGGAATGGTCACAGTTGAAGATCAGTGAGTATAAGTAGGTGATTGAAAACTGAAGTATATTATAATGTAATCCCCATAACTTTTGTAGAGTTATGTTTTACTTCAAATCTTCGAAGAGATCTAACAATGGCACTGACGTGAATGCTGGACAAATTCCACAATTATTGTATCGAGTTGTTACACCTGAAAATCAGACTCCTAACAGACAAAGATATCAAATTGAACCAGTTTATGTATTGAAAAGAGATTTTAGTCGAACGGTTACCAAAGTATGTATATGTATATATATATATATATTTTTTTTTTGANNNNCGAAGAAATCATGAAAAAATTTATTCGATGCTTTTTTCCAGGAATGTTTTCAATCGTTAATATCACTTCTCCAATGGAGTTGGAATACATTAAAAGTATCATTAAACGATACAATGAATCATACTACTTCTTCGTTTCACACATTACTTGAAATGGAACGTTTAGTTTATATTAGTAAAGCTAGTTTGCGATTACTTAGAACTTACACCAATGAAATTTATCCAAATCAAGGTACGTAAATAATTTGTTACTTCGTATTAATCTGTAATACAATATAATATTAACAATTCCACAGTCGGTAAGAAAACTCCAACCGAGTCGGTGCGTCTAGCAGAATGCATAGGCGAGGTACGCGCTTTATTACATCAAATTTTGTCGGACACTGTGTTAACTAATACCAAAAGTAAAGGAAAAACAAAGACAAGTAAAAGTGCGTTTTTCTATATAGTATTATTTTTTATTTTTATTGGTTTTCTATTATAACTCCGCAATATAAATAATATTAAACGCAGGTTCCGGTACCATAAACAATAAAGTTACGAATAGCATTTTGGATGAATGTCATAGAACATTCGTAGCATGTTACCATGCATTTTATCCTACAGCATACTTGAAGTGGACATGTCTCTATGAATTATTATCTGAAATCGATAGAGTAAGCATTTCTAATTATTTTATGAAAAGATTACGTTATCGAAGATGTTAATACGTTCATATTGCAGGAACAGGGAAGAACTACAAAAGATAGATTACTATCAGCAGTTTTGGCTTCTTTGTGTAATCCTACCATCCGTCTTCGCTGCACATTTCCAATATTGAATAATGTCATGGATAATAGTGACGGTATAAAGCGGCAGCTCAGTCCATCGGACAATACCAGCTCTCTAATGATAAACTCAACTGAGAATCATCAGTACCCAATTCTAGTCGAACAAATTAGTTACAAGTCACAAATGGAGAACTCTGGGAAGGAAACGTTGAATTGGACGTTTCGCGATGTTCTTGATAGACTATTAGATCTGATTTTAGTTCCCGTGAAAAAAGGTCTCTGTAGAGAAAAGACTCAATCACTGCCAGAGTTGGTACTTCATTGCTGTTACTTGTTAGAGAGGGTAATCGCTGAATTAGCCGCGCAATCAAGTGGAAACGAAGATGAACTTCAAGTTGCCTGCGGTAGGCTGATGTACACTACACCCTCGAGATTTACACGGGTGGTCCAGACGAGGTCTTGGAATACTGGTAATGGTTCTCCAGATGCGATTTGTTTTTCCGTCGATCAACCTGGAATTGTTATCGCCGGAGTAGGTATCTACGGTGGGCTTGGAGTGTACGATTATGAATTGGAGCTACTCGACGATGTACGTGCCATTGTTAATTCTACTAGATGTTAATTAATTTGAATCATTATTGCGTTGTATGCTAATTGTTCCCTTTTTTGTACAGCAAAATAATACTGGCAATGATCCATCTCACACTCAACGCTGGAGTAGTTTAGATTTTACACGCGGTTCGTTTGGTCCGGACGATTGCGTGAATGATATAGTGGAATTGAAGTTTGACAAGCCTGTACCCATAAAGGAAAATGTGAAGTATGCTATTAGACTGAGGAACCGTGGTGGACGTACGAGTAATGGAGATGGCGGCCTTAGTGTCGTTAAAGGACCGGATGGAACTACTTTCACTTTTACAGCTTGTTCTTTGAGCTTCAATGGTGTGTGATTCGATTTAATATACTTTAAATTCTGTAAGATAAATACATTAATACGTTTGATGCGTGTAGGTACAACACAAACAAGAGGTCAAATACCGCATGTACTCTATTATTCAAATCCTCAAGATTCTGATGGACAGCATACGAGTAAGGCGATGGCTGAAGTGGAAGCGAGAAAGTGTACTCTTGCTATGACAGCGACAATCATCCAACGATGTAACGAAATTTTTGCTCTGGCAAGAGAAAAAGCAGAAGAAGTGGTAGCTAATGAGGTTCTAGGAAATGCGACATTTGTGACAACCCTTTTACCTTTGGTCATGGCACACATCAGTCCATTAGCTACATCGGATCCTAGGGTAAAGACCATTATAAGTATTTTTTTTAATAGTACCTGAATATATTATTGGAAAAACACATTTCTTCTTTTCAGAGCGGAGTACAGGTTCTCACTCTAATACAGGAAATGCTCCCTCATGTTTCTGCGCTTAATTTGTTATCTTCAATGGGGTCGTCTCAAATATCTCAAGACAGCGAAGTTCAGTCCCATGTATCTCCGCCCATTACTACTAGTCATCACTATACGTGGCTGGAAAGTGAGCATCCATATAAACCTGCCACGGTATCCCATTACAGAGTTTCTTTTCCGGATACTGTTAAATGGATGTCCATTGAATTTACACCAGAATGCGGTACCGCTCAGCCAGAAGATTACTTACAACTATACATTCCGAATATAATTTTCAACTCTTCAACGGGGTAAGTAGGGGGTCAGCTTATGCTGCGTGAAAATTTCTTGACACGGACATGTTTGCATTTTACTGCGAATGCTTTTAGAATACCTTCAAACGCAACGTCAGACGACACACCTTTACATTGGCCGGTATTACATAAATTAAGCAATGTACAAAGCCAATGGCCACAAAATGCGGTCGTGTTACCAGGTAAGTCGGATCTCATAAGGAAACGTGAAAACGTTATAATTTTCATGCGTACAAATCAATTGATTCACTGTTTCAGGAAATGAAGTGATATTTTCGTTGGAAACAGCATCGGATTACATGAAGAACGAAGGAGCAATTATGTACGGATTTAAATGTCTGGTTATTGGATACGACTGGATAACGTCCGGGAACGGGTTGAAAAATTTGGAAACTGAATTATCATTCCTCGGTGGAGCTTGCGCTGCGAGTCTTATGAAGAAGAATCTTGCGTTGCCACCTGTATCTAGTATGTATTACTATCGTGAAAGAAATATTTACGAGACTTATCATCCTATGGCTAGTTCCACCGTGCAGCCTGAAATACCGATCTCATGAAAAATCAATTGCCACGCCCTCTAAACTTAATTGCAATAATTAGAGAAATTATGGTATACCTACAAACGATCTTCTTTACATATAATTCTTATTCGAAATATCAGTTGTATTTTTATTTTCCACTGAAAAAATCCTTGAGGTATGTAAGTCGCAAAGTCGTCTGAGACGTGTATTTATACCGAATGCTAAGGTAACTTAATACCTCATGTTACTCATGTTACAATCTCCTTTAATATTTCAGTCTCTTTAACCTAATTATCCTTTGCCATAGGATTTTCTTTCCTTCATAACATCTTTTGTTACGTATAACCGGTAATCCATCTGCCATAGAAGTTGTTACTTAGAAAATGAGTTTTACGTATTCATGACTTTTCAGATGAAGAAGTGGAAGAGGATTTAGAGTCGATGCAAGAAACTGCGGAGAGGATTTTCTCGATGCATTCAACCTTACTTGGACGAGGATTCGCTATGTCGTCGCCGCCTTCCGTCTCCCAGGCTCTCGACGGCGTTCTTCCATTCAGGTGAGTACCAAATTGTACTTGCTTGCTGTCGTGTAACCGATTGTTGGTAAAGAAAATGCTTCTAAGAAGGGGGCGGCGATCATTAGTCACCGCAATACATGAATTAATCACCGTACAGTATTTTCGTCCGAGACGGTACGTTTATGCGACGAGCAAAATTTCATTCGACAATACCAGGAGAAAACTGTGACCCTTTTTAGAGCCGCTTCTATTGAAATTCCATTGGAAATGGGTTAAATAGCGGGTTAGAAAATTAATTGTCTCGGTTCGTCGGTTATATAATTGAACCCATTGAAAGGCATTGTATAGCTCACTCCACAACTCGAGGACGTATACTTACACACACAAAAGCGGATATGAAAGGAACGCTTAAGTCTTCAAATCAATCATGAATAGCATTCATAGCTCTTTTTCGTAGAACCTGCGACTTCTCGTGCATAAATTCCCATGGTTCTGTCTTCCGCCGGCCAAAAGGCATACTAATGATTCCTGTTCATTCGAACGAATGTCCGTGCTTAATGAAACAACCTATGGCAACAGTTCATCATTGTCGTGTCACCGTCCCGTTGCATCTGTATCGGGGATAGAAAATGATCGTTTATCGATGCGGTAAAGTGTCTATAGTCTTTGACGTAAACACGTTGCATCAATCGATGTTTGCACATATGCAGACAGAGGATAGAGGATAGAAGGGTGCAAGATAGTTTCGGGAATATCGATCAGGTGTTATCGAGTCGGTGTTTTATATGCATCAGCTTCTTTATTTTCTCCTTCTTTCTCTCCCTCTCTCTCTCTCTCTCTCTTTCTTTCTCACCCTTTTTCTCTCTCTTTCTCTCGTTCGTTCAGCCACTCACGCTTTCACTCTCTCGGTCTCTCGTTCTCTGTTCATCGATGGTCACCACAAGCCGCGATCGATGCAGAACAAATGATACAGTCGGCTGTCGTCATATCACAGTCTCACGATAATTACAATTAAACCGTTCTTACAAAACTTAATTCGCGCGGCGCGCTTCGATAATTGCACGCGTGACGGGGTTTCTTCTCGCGGGTCGTCGTTAATCGGTCGTGCGTCTTCGCCGTTCAAGGCTACCCGGCTCCGAAGGTCACCGAACAACCTGAAAACGCTCCTCGCGAGCGGATTTCTGCCGGCGGGTCCTGTCGGTAGTTGCGCGGAACGAGACAGCGTCGCGAGAAATCGGCTGCGGGGCGAACGTACGACGAGTTCGCATCGGCGATGCGCCGTTTTGTCACCCGCGCGAGGTTGGCCACTCGCTTTGAAGACAAAGCGTACGCGTGTCTTTCGAAACGCTCCTCGGATCAGCTGTTTCCGCTGCTCCTCGAAATTCCTCGCGGGAAATTCCTCCCGCGCTCTCGCTCTGTGTAGTTCCCCGCGGTTCGCTTCGGTCCGATTAATCATCGGAACCTTGAGATGCCAGGCAGAGGCGTGGCGTGCACTAGCGATGTCGTAGCGAATTTACGTCCGCGTTATCGAGAGCTACGGGCCGAGATTAGCCGGGGTATGTACGCGAGCCGAGCCGATAACGTCCGCAGGTGGGGGCCGCTCTCGCGTTCATCGAAATTATAGATACTGATCGCAACTGATAACAATAACAACAATTTATTGGCGAAATCCCAAGCTCATAAATAAACGTGTCGCAGTAACAAAAACGAGATACAGCGAGCCGACGCGACGGTAACCCACGGGAAACGGTTCGAACGTGTTCGAGAGAAGGTCACCGGCAGGGGTTGCGTTTATCTTGCTCTCCCCGAACGGGAGATGCTTAGGGTAGTTTGATCTTCTCGCCGCCACTCCGCTCGGCCCTTAGAACTACGAACGTCCCATCGATTCATATCCGTATTGTCAAGGAATGTCAGGTAATATTTTTATTCTGTTACAAGCACAGTGAGAAACGCAATCAATCCGAGACGGTGTTACACAGCGGTTCACGTGTGCCATTTCCTTGCTCGGAAGTCACTGGGTATACTCGGCTACCCTTTTTTTTATCGCCACTCGCTAGGACGAACGTCCCTTCGAGTCGAGTGTGTACGCGAACACGGCGTTCCTATAGGAATGGCACTGCTCCTCGAGCGTTCTTACAGTCCCGACGAAATCAATCGACTCCCCTCGAGGTCGTCGAAACACGTCGCCCCTCCTTACATCGCTAAATTCGATCGCACTGTAGACGCTGCTGGTCTCCGCTCGAAGCGTTCGTCGAGGCGCGAAGTTGGATCGCCGGAATCGACGCGAATCGCGCGGATCGACGAGTTTAGGATTCTCCGTGCGCCTTCGACCGGGGCGCACCCCTCTTCTTCTCTCTTTCCTCGCTCCAGGTGTCGAAGTGGACGCGAACTTCGGTCCAATCTTCTCGAACGACACCTTCGGAAGCTACTTAAACGATAAACTTAGCTAAGAACGCGGTGCCGATTATCCGCGCTCGCGCGGACGCTTCCGTTCGCGAGGGAAACTTCGGTTCGTAACGGTCGGAGCGGAACCGGGGCATACAGTACGGTTCGGCGGAACGTCGGCTAGGTCCGCGCCGGGATAATCGGCGCTCGCGTCTGATATGTGAATGGAAGCTTACGAACTGGCTTGTACTAAAAGGATTAAGTCGGTTAAATTTGAAAACAATAGGATCCGGTTAATCTGCCTCGCACTAGTCGTCCCCGAAAGACGCGACATATCGCTTAACGGTACGTGACAAAGGGAAAAAGGAAAGAACGGTCGCGGGCTGGCAATGTTCATCCCTGAAGTTTCATTGTAATCGGGGCGGGGGACCGCGGATCGCTCGCACACCCACACACGCTCGCTCACGCGTGCTCACAGGCTGTTCGAACAGTCCTCGCAGCGTGAAACCGGTGCACGTGCTCGTCGCGCGTCGCTGGCCACCGATAATACACCGTGTCCCAGACGTTCAGAGCTTGTACACGCGGAAACGGCTCGGCCTGTCCGACCACTCGAATTCTTCCTCGAGCCGAGCGTCGGCCACGGCTGCAACCGAGCCGCGCGACGGTTCTCGTTACAACTCGGTAGTCAACGGTTCCGCCTTCTCGACGATCACATGGAACTCGGTCTCCCTGTAGAGCCTGCCGTCAGGCACCACCATCGTTATCCGGCTGTCGACCGGCGCCGTGGACGCCGCCGCTTCCCTCCCGATAACGCCGTTCTTCTTGGAAACCACGTCGGGCGCGTTCGTCGGCACGCTGATCCATTTCTTCCGGCTGTTCTGGCGACGCCTCCTGCAGCACCAGGCGATCAGGCAGGCGAGCACGATCAGTAGAACCAGCAGACCCGCGATCCCTGTCGCGAGTATCATCACCGACCCGCCCAGGGAACAGTGGCGTGCCTCGTACTCGGAGAAACTCGTCGGTACCCCGTCCACCTCGCCGTCCGTGCATAGAAACGTCTCCGGGCTCTCGTTGATCGAGTCCTGGCTGGAGAACGTGGGCAGCAGCATGGAGTTCTGTCTCGTGTAGATCCTCGAGTAGACGTTCGTGTAATTGAGAATGTTGTTCTTCCAAACTGGCAGCATCTGACAGTCGCACGGCTGGTCGACTAGTAGGTTGTCGAGCTCCAGACGGAAGCTAGACCGGTCGAACATCAGCGAGCCCTCCTCGAAGTTCGCCACGCTGTTGTTCTTGAATATCAGATCGTGCAGGTTTACCGACTCCGAGTCCGCGCGTATTCCTAGGAACGCTCCGATTGATAGACTGCCGAACGTGTTGTTCTTCAGGATGACCGCGCCGCGTGCGGTCACCTCGAAAGCCTCGCTCTCCAGGCTGTCGATCAGGCAATTCTGGATGGTGACCGTTCGCGGGCTCCGCACGATGAACGCGTCGCTCCGCACCGTGCCCATCTTCACTCCGTCCAGCATGAACTTGTGGTAGACCTCGATGTCGTTCATCGTCCTGCTGGGCACCTGGTCACCGAAGCTGCCGCGGATCACGTGCAGGTAGCCTACGTCGAACTTCTTGAACGCTTGCGCTTCCATGCTCTCGATGTGGCAGTCCTCCAGCCGCAGAGTATCCGTTTGCACGAGATTCGCGAACGAGAACGCGCTCAGTTGGCCGATCCTCACGTTCTCGAAGCTGATCGCCTCGACGTCGCCGCGGAACACGAAGCTCGGCATCGTGTCGATGCTGCTGTTCCTCACGGTGATGCGAGTGCGGATGCTGGGCGACGACAGCTCGAAGCTTTGCCTCACCAGTGTCAGGTTCGCCACGTTCACCAGCTCCACGGAACGCAGCCCGGCCATCGAGGCTAGGCTGGAGTTGGCCAGGATCACCGAGGAACAGTTGCTCACCACTATCCTGCTGGTGTGCGGGCTCAGCCTTTTGTCGCCGTCCGTTGTCAACACCAGCTCCTGAAACAGAGTCGAGATCGTTAGACACACACATCTAGTTGATCGTATTCCGTTGATTAAGATTTATCAGCGATAGAAGCGCCGGCGGATTCGAGGGAATCATAAACTGCGCGCAAACGTTCGCCCAACTTTTCCTATTGTTCGGGACGGAGTTTACGTCGGCGGGCGACGATTCGAAGACGCGCCGGGGAACTGGAGGACAGGAATTGCTGGCATGTAAACAAGTTCGATATGAGTTTTCGACGGAAGCGTGTCGAGTCCCTCGAGTATTTTCAAGAGTACCGCATTCGACGTCTGTTTGCCCGGAACTTTCCGCTGGTTCTCGCTTATAATCGAATCGCTGCGCCGCGGCACTCCTTTAATCAGAACGAGCTACCTCTTCGGATACTCCTGCAGGGCGAATCCGTTGTCCCTTAACTCTAACCGCGGAAACATTTACGTTTCGTCAATACTGGAATGCATCGATGTCGTCGAAGCATCGTTGATAAGTTCTCCGCAATGGGAACGGAGTTAACGCGAATATCTTACTGAAAACTAACAGGCGAATATTGATAAAACCAACAATAATGATTAAGAAACCGCGCGTGCCTGGTCGTCGCTAATTTATTCACAGCGCGAACGACGGAAGGAGGAATAGGAATGACGGGTTTCAAACGGGTTCGCAAACTCAGGTGCGAACTGCGGTATACTTGCGACCAGCTGGCCGCTCGTCCGTTCTGCGTCTTTATTAATTCATTCGCACGCGTTAGAGCGCGGTCGTCGCGGCTTCCAGGCTCGACGGCACCTGGCATTTCGAGCTCCTTGTTTGTTAAACAATCGACAGCGGGACACGCTTCGCGCATACCTGCTCGACCAGGTCCCGGCGAGCCGCCGCGATCCAGATATCATTCGCACGTATGTACATAGTTGCTACACCGGTCGACTCGTCGCGACTCGTCGTCCCCCGGACAAGATTATCGCCTATTTCTCGCTAACAAAGAGACCCCGATAACGCAGTCGCTTCTCGGTAATCAGTGTCGACGTCGATTTCGTTCGTGCTCGGTGATTCATTGAATCAACCGTGACGCGACCGCTTTGTCGCTGGACAGGATCACGTATACTTCGACGCGTTGCACCGCCTGCGGTTTCTCGCGCCGAAGAATGGACTCTTTGAGATACGTAACGCAATCATGGTCACTTGACACTCGAAGAAAGTGGGAAAGGAATGGTTCTCCAGATGTCTTCCGATAGCTGCGGTCTATCCTTTAATTACCGTCTCGCAATTATCTTCGAAACGACGCGAGGAATCGTGTCCTATTCGTATTCCTCTTTCGCCAGGCGCGTTGATCGAGTTCTGTTCTACGGTTACGTCATTATCTGAGATCACCGGAGCTTTGTTACTAACTAGGTTACTAACTACGTTTCATTCTTATCCTCTTGCTTCCAGCCTTTTCTCCGAATCGTAATGTTCTCCTCAGTCCACGAACGTAATAACAAGAGACACACGAAGCAGACGAACGGTTTAGAAACTGTAACGCATCGTACGACTCGTGCCACTCGAAACGCGACCAGCGATTCCCAAGGATCACGGTCGGAGCTCGCGCGGGAAGAAAAAAGCGCGTCGGTGGGAATCAAATCCGTCACGGGCGTAGCGCATCTTCCCGTCGAGCTCGTTTGAAAATTCGCTGGCAAGTCCCGCGGCGCAGGCAAACGCGAGCGAATCTCGTTCTTCGCGCGGAGAAACCTTTTAAGCGGGATCTGGTAGTTAGCTGGAGCCGCTTTGTGCTCCAGAGGGGAGCTGAAATAATCTCTTCGGATTTTGGTAGCTTTCGCAAAAAGAGAGAGCGGGAAGGGGGAAAAACAGAAAACGCGCACACGGGCGGACTTTTGAAGACGTTCACGATTAGCGTTCGTTATCCCAGCAGCGGAGAGTTTTCGAACGCGAAACATTAGCGGGCCGCGGCGGAGGGGACAAGAACGGAGCGGTTCTGAATAGGCGAGAAAGGAAACGGACGAAAATAAAGAGCGTCGCCGATAAAAAGCGACCCCTTTTCTCAGGTACCCACGCGTTTCACCGTCTTTGCAATCCCGCGGCGGCGGCGGTGGCCTCCACGTCCGTTCCACGGTCCCGTCCGACCTTTGTTCCCGTCTCATTGTTCTTGACCAATTCCCCGACACACAATCTCCGGGTCCGCAGAGAAAGAGGGAGGGACCGCACCGGCCGAAACGCGGTTGTCCGCGCTGTCGCGGCTCGTTTTTCACCCGGCACGAACAATCACCCCCGTAACGGGCCGCTACCCGGAGCGTTTCCGTTCCCCTTTGCCGGGAACTTGATTAAACTTCGGCCAGACTGATGTATATATCGGAATATTCCCGATTCCTTCGGAGGCGTTGTCGCGGAAGACGTTACGCAGGGACCACCCCTGAAATCTGAATTTTATTTCTCGGCTTCAACGATTCGGCATCGATGCACTATTGGTGTCTATAGGTGGTCGTAAACTGCTATTGATAATAATTAATACAAGTGCATCCTCCGTTAGTCGCATATTATACAAATTTGATGATTTCGTGTCGGTTCAATTTCATGCTTCGATGGTGTCAATACACCTCCTCAGAAATGCGCGTTGACGGAAAATTCTGCCAAGGGGTTGACGGCTCGTTTTTATTCGGCCGAGCGTGTCCCCTCGCCAGACGGTCTCGCGACGAGGGATCGTTTCCTGATTACTCGGATCGACGGTGATCCCCTTCGGGGCTGAACGCAAATTTTCCTGGCTCCGAGCACCGGGGGGAAGGCGAATTATTGTTTCCTTGGTGAACCGGCGCGACACGCGCATCGATTAGCGGCCGCGCGACTAGTTTTAATGGAATCGTATCGCGACGTTGCGAGCGTCGGCACCGCGAGAACCCGGGGCCGGATCGTTACGACGATTCCAACGAGTCTCATCGCCGCGGAACAATTACCCGACGCCAGCCGAAATGAAGATGAAAATGTAATCGACGTAATGGCGGATTAAGCGGCGGTCGTTCGTGGAATCGCGGCGGTTCCCGCGTCTCCGACGGGACCGGGGCTCGCCGGAAGGGACCGTAGCCAGACTCCTTTACGATCTATAAAGGATTTACGCGAAACAATTTCCTTCGCGGGAGAGCTCCTGTTGTCTTCCTCCCTGCCGATTGCCTCGGCTCCCCTGCATTTTTCATTTATATCTCGCCCCGCTTCGCGGAGGAACGGATTCCCGTCGACCGTGCATGCTTCCACTTCGGCGACGGATCGGTATTAATTATTTCGAATAAAGTTTTTGCGAGCGGGCTCGAGAGATTACGTTCGAGGCGATTCGGGTCGCGGCAAAAACATCGGGACGAAGGGAAGAAGTCGGGAGAGAAAACAATTTGCGAGAGGTCGAAGAAAGGAAATGATAGGCGCGAACATCGCCAGTCACATTCGAGCGTAAAGACGAATCCATTTGCATTACATTTTCAACGGCTTCCGGTGTCGTCGGTCCGACGCGACGCCGCTGCCTGCCGATCGTCCCGGGGAATCAACGTTTCTAGGCTGCGAAACGGTCGTTCCGTTCTATGGCACCGGTACCTGGCGGCAGTTCCCCGCATCGAGTTTCCATTTTCCCCGAGTATTTTCATAACCGACCCTTTCCCCTCGGCGAACGGGCCTCCGCCGCCCTTACCGCCCCCGCTCGCAGCTGTTACTTCTGCACGAAGAGGCGCAGGCCTCCCGGCGTCGGCGGCGTTCTTTATTTCGTCCTTCCGCGCGAGTCCGCCTCGTCGGTCCTCGTTACGAGAAAAACGGACGAGTTAAGCCTGGCATTCGCTAAAAGGTTGCCTCAATTATTTACAGGCCCGTCAATTATTCACCGGCCGCCGGAGCGGTTAACAACTTCGCTCGCCGGCGCCGCCGAACTCCGTCCGCCGTGTGTTTTCCTCGGGCGGGGGGTATCGCCGTTGATCTCGCGGACGCGATCGTTCCGCTCGATCCCTTTCACGCGAAGCAGTTTCGTTCCGGTGGATATGCTGGTCGAACGACGATAACGATTCCGTGTGTTCCTCGAGGAACGGGGGGACACGTCGCGGATAATGGGTCCGAGCGAGCCGCTCCGAGGCGAGGAAATGGAAAAGCTCGCCGGGGAAACTGGAAAAGGGAGCGGCGGGGACCGTTGCGAGACGTCCACGCTCTCTCTCCCAATATATTCGCAGTCACGAGTTGACGGCGCGACAAATTGGCTGAGCGTGTTCGTGAAACGCTGGCTGTATTATGCGAAATCCACGATGAAACTCGCATAGGCCCGCGCTGTGCATTATAGAACCTCTCCCGCCTCTTTCTCTTCGCCTCTCGCGCGCCTCTTCTCGGATGCTGGCTAAGGTTTTCTACAAAACGGGTTCTCGCGGAATATATTGCGCCCTCCCCGAGCATCGTTTCGCTCCCTTTTCCCTTTAACGCTCGACGGTCACGGCGGAGTCGCGCCGTCTTCGTTCATCGCTCGTCCACTGATTTATTCCCTCGCTGCGATTTCGTTAGTCCTCTGCTTAGCGTTCCTGCGGTTCGTTCGTTCCCTAAGTTCCTTAAGAGAGGTATTACGTCTTCGTCCCAAACGAGGAGGGTCATCAGACACGGTCGAAACGATCGAAAACGCGTCCTTGAGGCGGTTGTTGTCAACTCGGTTACAGCTTCGCAGAATCCAGGAGCCGCGATCATCGATACGATACTCGATCCGTAACTTATCCAACCCGCGACCGACCACTTCCGTTATCCGCGCACGCGACACGCGGCGCCTGCGACTGCCGCGAATCCAGCGCGGAACGGGAAACGTAAATTTCGATCAACCATCCGCGCGTGCCGGCACGAAAACGAACGCGGCTCGCGCTGAAAAACCTGTCCGTAAATATCACGAGCAGGATTTATGCTCGGGGGATTACGTAACTTCTGATCGACAGTCGATTCGTCGGCGATTTCACCGGAGAGTCTAGCCGATCCCGCGATAGGATCTTCGTCGTCCGTTCATCCGTTCGCGTCCGTTCGGACATCGTGGCTCGTCCCCGGGTCCTCGATCACGGTGACAAGACGGCGAACCAGGAAACGCCGGGATTCGACCGCGCCGATTGGTTTCCACGGCGTAACCGCTGCTCGCGCTTGCTTCCCGCGGTCGTTTCGTCACGGGCCGGAGTTTTACGGGATCGGGTTTACGGGCATTGCGCGACGGTACACACACACCGTGTGGCGTAACGCGGACCTGTCCGCGGGGACAAAGAACGCTTTATCTCGGCCCTGTAACCGTGTTAACGCGTCGCCAAGGCCGCGCGATAAACCTGTCCCCCGCGCGCCCCGAGCAGATTCGTCGGGCGCATCGTGACGGATGATCCGGCCAGCCGAAACCACTCGATAAACTCGGAATTACGCTGACCTGGGTAATCCCGCGTGGAAACTGTTCGATTACACGCTGGCCGCCGCCTGCGAGTTCGTTGAATCCGCTGAGTCTCTGGTATCGGGGGGTTCCCTTCGTACGTACGACTGATCTAGAACTCTTCGTCGTCCGCGTTATGAAGCTGATTCCGTGAAGGATGTTTACAATCCGACGTTTGCCTGATATTTATTCAGCGGACGGTTCCTCGAAGTCCTTATCGGACGCGGATTATGTTTCTCTAGAGTTCAGATGAGACTCCGATCGTTTTACAGTTAGGACTTCAATAGGGACTCCATTCACGGTTTCTTTGTACCTTTCGGATTATAAAAGCGTCGAGGTATTAGTCCACTTTACGACGATCTTCATAAAATGTCCTATAAACGGGAAGATTTCAACGATAGCCTCGCCCAGGACGTGCGGGCGGTAGACAATCGGGAAGAACGGTCGTGGGGAATTCGGGATGAGAAGAGGGGCTAGTAAAGGATCACGCTCACGTGACCGGGATCCGTCACGTCGGGGGTGGCTGGCATTTTTCTCGGCGCGTAGCATTTTTCCTCGGGCGGGGCTGGTTGTACCTGTGCCAGAGAGTCCGGCGTAATAAATATCCGGGAACAGGACGAAGGGCGTAGCGGCAAGTGGGAGGAGACGGGACGGGCGGCCTAGCACCTTACCTGGCTGCCAGACGATGTCTGGCCCGCGATTTGCGTAAACACGCTCTAATTTATGGGTGCCTCGGTCTCGCTCGCTCCAGGGTCCGCGCGTGAGCCGGCCGCGCCGCCCCCGCAATTTGCGCGGGAACCCCACGGAGCGGCGGAGATTAAGCTTCTCCCTCGTCTTCCGCGTTTATTTCGACAACCCCTACTTGCGGCTCTCTATTTCTTTGCGCGTGTCACGCCGCCCTCGGTTAATCGGGCACGATGATGGAACGGCGGCGGCCGGGACACGATAATTCTTAGCGGCCGGTCGCCGGTTATCGAGGATCGGACTCGTGGATCCGCTCGTTATCTCCGCCCGATAATTCCTGGACGACAGAGGAAACGTCCGGCGAATAGAACAAAGGGACTTGCGTCGCGTCGTCCGCGATTTTTCGTGAGATAGGCACACCGGCTCCGCCGCGGCTGCAGCGGTTTCTCAATGAATTTCGTGGGAAAGAAAGGGGAGCGAGGCGAGAGAATAGCTCGGACGGATGTCGGACGGAGGGAGACAGCCGCAGGAGAGATTCGAGGCGCCGATTGGCCCGAGGAGGATCGTGTCCTTGGTCCAGGGGGCGAGAATCGACGTGACGAAGGGAACCGAGCGAACGCGACGGGGCCGTTCCGCTGTCGACCAACCGGGATACGGGATTCCTTTTCTCTCCCTTCTCGTCGCGAGGTGCAAGGTCTATGGGGTTCGCAACGGCCTACCTTTAACTCGGGCTAACCCCTATAAATCCCTTCCTCTCGGCGGACACTTTTATTCATTCCATTCGTCCGTTGCGACGATCGTCGAGATACCCGCGGGATAAAAGCGCGCTCGGATAGTTATGGGTGGGACATACCTCTCCATCGTTCTTACAGTCGCAGGTCAGCCGGCCGTAATGGTCGCAGGAGCACGGCGGATAGTCGCACCTGTTCGTCGAGTTGGTCAGAACACCCTTCAGCAGGCTGCTCGAGAATAGTCCGAGGATCAGGCTTCCCAGCACGAACTCCCGCCAGGCTGCTCCCATTTTGCGCCTCGGTTGCCACCCCTCTCGTCCCTCTTCGTCTTCCTCGCCCGGCTGACTGACTCTAGTCCCTTTTCCTCGGCCCCTCTCGCCGACGCGAACGACGACGCGTTCACGCGCACGCGATCCCAGCTGATTCCGCGCCGAGCCGACCGAGACCGCGTTGTCCCGAC